CTTGGCGGCACATCAGTGTTAGCCTTGGCAGGATAAATCTCCCCAGATCTATCCAACGGCTGTGAAGATTCTAAACTAACACGAGTCTCATATGTGTCTAGTTTAAGGGTATTACACAGTAACACACCATGATAACATGAATCAAATATGTACTTTATTCATTTACATTAAATGTCATAATGTACATCATTCTGATTGGAGCTAAGGGCATACATTGTTTAACAAATATGAGGTAAATTGTGAAGGCATACCAGTCATATGGGCACTGGCCCCAAAGTTTAAAATCCATTGGCTAAAAGATGTAGAACAAGAAAGTGCAGTACCTGTCTTGGCATATGAACTAGATGAGGAGGATGTACCATCTTTTTTCAGCTGCTATAGTATATTCCTGAGCTTATCCATTACGGAGTTAGGCACATTAGAAGGTTGAGCATCATTACCAACTGTAGCCAAGTGAGCATTGGCCTTCTTCCCGGTTTTGTACTTTTTTGGTTTTAAATGAGGATTGAGCTTCCAACACCTTTCCTTAGTATGTCTTGGATTTTTGCAATAATCACAAACAACATCCTCAACCTTCTCAGTAATAGGGTGCTTGCTAGTATTTTACTTAGGTCGAGATGGCATAAAGGCAAAGTTATCAATCATAGGAGGTTACATCATGGCATTCCTTTTGCTCTCTTCCCCTTGTACAAGGGAGTAAGTGGAAGCAAGAGTGACAATGCCGACACTAAGAATATGTTGCCTGGTAAAATCAAACTCTAGATTCAAGCCAACCAAAAAAATCAAAGACTCTATTCTCCTCTACGTACTTAGCTCACCATCTTCTGGGTACTTCCATACAAGAGCTTTCAAGTGATCCATTTCTTCCTAGATAGACTATAGAGAAGAAAAATACATTGCAACAGATCTCTCTTCTCTCCCCTAACGCATACTGCAAGCTTCTCTCTGAAGTTGGCACACTCTAGCAGTACTGCTAATTTGGGAATAGGTGGCAACAACTATCCCAAATACCTTTGGCTGTTGGAAGAAACATGTAGTTCCGGGCAATATGAGGTTGCATTGAGCAAATCAACCATGACATTACAAGTGAGTTATCATGTTCCCACTTTGCAAATTTCGGGTCTTCAAGATTTGGCTTCACCTCCTTTCCTGTGATGAATCCCAATTTACCTCCCCTAGTGATGGTAAGTTTAGGAGATTGGGACAACTCTAAAAAGTTGGTTCTATCAAGTTTAACAGTAGTTATCATATCACTGAAAATATTTGGACTTCCTGGGAGCACATTGAAAACCATCTGTACATCCTTAGATGATTCCATATTCTATCAAAACACTTTCTCGTCAACCAAAAATACCCCCATTACTTAACCAAAGCTAAAGACCCAAGGAACTAGGTCACCACACGGTTAAGAGACAAAAAAAGGCCAAAAAACTAGGTCGGTGGAAAAATAGAGGGAGAAGATCTCCCAAAAATTGTACAGGGCTTAGAAAATTATGGGACCACTTCCCGTCACTCCCAAAGTGTAAAATGACCTGAATGGTCTAGGTTTTGCAGCTGAAGAACTCATTAAACATGGTGTATAAGGATCGACATCAGATCAGGAATTTCTGCAATTTTCTCCTTGAAAAAACCACTAAAAATCATAGAAGCTTCGAACAGGGACAAGAGTCATACAAAAAAATCCTCTAAAATCAGGGCGAATCAAACCATGTAGGATTCAATGACTGCTGCCGACACCTGTATGGACTGATGACGTCAGCAGTTCATCTTGTGGGAAAGAATCAGTAGGAAAGGTATTCCCTAGGAAGCCCCAAGCCCCCTACTTGGGCAAATTGATTTTGTCTGCTCTCATGGAAATTATATATAGTACATATTCTTTTGTATCCTTCTATGTATTTAATCTTGTAAGCTGTGAAGGGGTACCTGTTTGAAGTGGAATTATGAACTTGTCATTTGATATTGACTCATGGTTGGACTGCTAAGAGTTGGTTAAATTGTTATTGTTATTACCTTAATACCTTTACCTTTATTTTTTCGTTTTATTAATGTTGTAGGATCTTGCTACTTCTATTCAAAGAGGAAGTTTGGACTGGGAAAGAGCTGTGCGTTGTTTAAGACATGCTCTTCATAGTACTCCATCACCTGATTGGTGGAGGCGTGTTGTTCATGTAGCGCCTTCTTATAGGCCACAGGCTCAACAAGGACTAACTCCTAGTGCTGTCTTCTCTGCTGAAATGATCTGTGAGGCAACAATTGATAGAATAATGGAGCTATTGAAGTTAACACACTCAGGCAGTAACTTCCCCCATTTGGTTCAATTCTACACTTTATGTCCATTGACATTGATGATATTTTTTTTTTTACTTTATTTTTCCTTTTTCCCTTCCCCTTTCTTTATTTCATTGTTTCTTAATCATTTATAGTAGTATTGAAGATTAATTGCATATTCAGCCAAAGTTTCCTACAACCTATATGTTTTATTTTTGATAGCTTTTGTATAAAATATAAGTATTATGTTTGGACTCCTTATGCGTCTATATTGAATATGCATGACTATAATTTGTTTACTTTCACCATTTAATACATGAAGGGTGTCAGGTTACTATGCATTTTAATTGTAAAGAAACATTCATAAAAAAAGAATGAAGATACGGGGCAGATTACTTATTGAATTACTAGATTTTGTAGTTTCTGAAGGCAGTCTTTTTTTGTAGAAACTTGGGCAGCTTATTTAGGTTTAGTATCATAGCATAGAGAACCTTCATATTAGACCTGTTCATGGGCAGGGCTTCAGGCTCAGCTTCACACTGATTCAGGTTGGGCTTCAGGCTGGGTCCATTCATATTTCGGCAAAAGCTATTGCCCTAGCCTGGCCCATGAACAGGTCTACTTCATATTTATAGTGATTTAAAGTATTACAGCAGGATTGCTGACCTATTGATTTCAGAAATTAATCCAATTACAGGATCCTTCAAACCCCAATATAAACCAGCAGAAAAGTACTAGAAAAATCCAACTCACCAACAATATAATCCTTAAATAAATGTTGCAATGACTACCCTTGAAAGATGATGCTGTAAATGAAGACTCTCACTTGTGCAAAGCAGTCCAGTTGTGATGTCCAAGCTTATAGCCGCTGATGGTTAACAGTCCCACCATCTCAGACTAGATCCTAATCACAAGAAAGCAACAGAAGGCTCCAATTCAGGTTTTACAAGCATTGCTTTAATACCAAATCACTTTATGGAGATCAAGACTCCAGTAGGGTTCTCAACCTGAAATCTAAAGCAAAAAAGGTGGAGAAGGAAATTTCATTTTCAAGGGGGTATTGTTAATAATTGACCCCCAAATCTGATAAGTCTTATCTTTTATTAAGGGGAGGCCTCATATGTAAATTGGATAAATGCTTCTACGGGCCAAGACAGAATAGGTAAACCATGTGTAGGTAAAATCTATGGGAAAGGTAAACTATGTATTCATTAAAGTTTACCATAGGTAAACTGTAGGGACAATAGGTAAACTATGTACAGTCCCTCTTTTAACATTTTCAGTGCCAGATTATGTGATATATTAGATTATTAGGTAAGTTCGTAACTTTTAGATCTTTGCTCTAATAGGGATTGGGGGATTTTTTATAAGAAACAGTTATAATAATTCATTAATGAAAGAAAAGTTGGTCTGCTTCTGAAAAGCAGCAGACCAAGAGTACAGAGCTAACTCCAACCTTGGAGCATAAGTAAAAAAGAAAAACAAAAAGAAAAAGAAACAAGTAAAAAACCAACTAATGACTTTTTACAAACTGCTTCCTCCCAGGACATCCCCAATCTAATTGATCTTTTGTCACCCCAGCCTTCTCTAAAGTATCTGCCAATCCATTGGAATTCCTATGCACCCCGTTGAATGATCTTTTCAAAGTGGCAGCTATAGATTGTGCTCGTCTCACCATTGGCCCAAATTCCTAAGGATTATATCTTGTGAGTCGTGATCTCATCCAACCTATTATGATTTGGCAGTCTCCTTCCACCTCTAGTTCCCTCATTCCCTATGCAATAATCAATTTTTTTTTTGGTAAGTAATAAGGATTTATTAATGATCAATAAAGAAAGTTACATAGTAGAAGCTTTCCAAACAGAGGCACGAGATGCAGCCTCAATTACAGAAGCAGAATTACATTTGAGCCCAAAACAAATGATTCTTATGCACCCCTTGCTTAGCTAAAAAAATCTGCCATCCCATTAGCTGATCTCCTTTCCCATTTAACTCTAACTGTCATATTTGTAGTCAGCCATTTAAATCTTCTCGTAGCTTCCCTGTAGGACCAAATTACAGTCTCTGGTTCCTTCAGCCACCCAATCATGAATTTTAAGCCCTGAAGAAGAGAGACCATTCAATTCAGCTCTAGTAGAGTTACCAAAACCTATTGGACCAGAAAAGATTGAGTAAAATCTGTCCAGTGTGGTCCCAAATACTCCAATGCTCAAATCTCCAGGGTTCCCGAGGCTGCATCGGTCAAAGTTGAACATACTCTTGCCCTCAACTGGTGCACAACAATCTATGTGATCTGCGCTAATTAGTGTTTTATTTCTTGTCCAGGAGCAGATTATCCTTTTAAACTGTTACTGAATATAATTAATAACATATGTGGGGATGTGTACACACACCCACCTTCTCTTCTAAACCCTATAACTACAGTGGAAGGTTGGAGCTTTATCTTTTATCTTCATTGTCATTTCCTTTTAAAGGAATTAGTTTCTTCTTCATTGCAATTTTCTTTTAGTGGGTGCATAAAGCTTTTGTGTGTTCAGAAGTATTCTCTTTTCTTCTTGACTATTTCTTCTGTTTCCTTAAAAATGTTCTTGTTCTCTGTTTACAACAATCTACAGTGGTTTCCCAAGCCTCCTGCACGTTTTCATCATAAGTAATTGCTTCTCTAATAATGATCACCAGAGTGTTGCTATGTATGTTTATTTGAGGAAGCTAATGGGCTTTTTCTCTGTAATTGGTCCATTGTAGAGGCACATTGCTGGCAGGAGTGGGTGACATTTTCGGATTTGTTTTTCTATCTCATGAAGAATGGGTGTATTGATTTTGTTGATTTCATTGACAAGCTTTCATCTCGAATTACAAAGGCTGATCTACAGACTCTTCGCACCAATCATGTGACTTGGCTGCTAGCACAGATCATTCGAATTGAGATTGTGACAAATGTTTTAAATAATGATCCCAGGAAGGTTGCTATTGAAATGTTATTTCAATGTTGTTACATTAAATGCACTATCTATTATACCTATCCATCTTCCTTACCTTCCACGTATATAATATTTCTTCATCTTGGCCAAGACATTTATTTTGGTCATCCTTTGTTCTGCAGCTGCTTAGTTAAGAATCTTGCTTTTTGGTAGTTAATAATCTCGTTGCAAATTTTTTGAAGCTATAGTGAATTCTGCTTTAATCCCAACTATTTATGTTTAGCTACATGAATCCTATCTTTCCGTTGTGCTCTATCAAGAGCCATCCTTTATGTCAAATTAAAAGGCCATTACCCAATGTCAGTCCCAGCTATCTGGGGTCTTGGGAGGGGTAGACTGGGTATGGTCTTAACCTTTGGCATCTTTTTGCACAAAGTGGCTGCCCTCAGACTTTAACCCGCATTCTCGTGCATGCCAGCCTTAGATTTTACCAGTACACCAAGTAATGGACTTTCTGTCAAATTGGAAATCCTTAATTCATTTTGACCACTTCAGTCCACAGTTTCTTTGGTCTTCCCTTCACTCTTTAGGCTCTTCTTGTTTGCACCTGGTTCAGTCATTGGTATGCAAATTTTGCATCTCAAGAAACTGATGCAAAATTTGCACCACCCTCTTCTTACCTTAATCTTCTTTCATATAAAGTGGGAACCGTATCTTCTTGCTTCCTGGCACTCCCAAACTAATAACCCTGCTCCTTACCTCCATTCTTTTTCATATAAGGTGGGAACCATGTCATTTTACTTCCTATTTTCTTCTCATAAACAAGTAAGACAATCAAATCTGAAGCAAAAGCAAACCAGAATTTATACTCAGTCTATTTGCACTTCTATGCATTTACACCAGTGCAAATGAAATTTACACTGCAAACAAACTGAGCTTAGAGCCTTCTTTTTTTTGGATAAATACTGAGCTTAGAGCCTTCTACTGGCACAAATTCAATTCAAGCTATACCTTTTGGAGGCATGTTTTTGGTTTCATGTCTGTTTCTATGAATTAGTCAAAATTTACTTGGCTAAGCAACTATCCAAATTGATATTCTTAAACTTTTTTTTTTCTTTTTTAATTCTTCTTGTTAGGTGGAGGTTACTAGAAAGATTCTTTCGTTTCATAAAGAGGACAGAAGTTCTGATCCAAATAATGTTAATCCTCAATGTATCCTTCTTGACTTTATAAGCAGTAGTCAAACTTTGCGCATTTGGTCATACAACACCTCAATTAGAGAATATTTGAATCACGAGCAACTTACAAAGGGAAAACAGATAGATGAATGGTGGAAACAAGTAACGAAAGGTACACTTTGCTGCATGGTATGGCAGAGTTAAATTCATTTAGAAATTTTGTGATGATAAGATACACTTTATTTGTTATGTTTTGCATACAAACTGTTTCTTCTGTTGCTTTCTTCTGTTGTCTTGGTTTTATGTTCAGATTTCTTGGATATGATAATTGTCTTAATATTCATAGTGATGTAATGCTTTTATGGACTCTTCAAATCTTAAGCCATTGAGCCTGAAACAGATATTTGTATTGTACTTAGAGATATTACTAACTTCCCTTCCATCATTAAACATTTCATGATGCATTAATGATTTTACATTTGGCTTTTATGCTGTCAGTTTCTTGGCATTCATGTCTTCCTAGGACATGGTTTAGAGTATTTCGGAATAGTGTCAGAGAAATTGACTGATGATGCAATTCAAGGCCTAAAAATGGAGTTTAAAACTTTAGATACAAATTGGTCCTTCTATTGTCATGTACTCCAGTTGTCCTGTCATTCTCTCTCTCTCTCCCTCCCTCCCTCCCTCTTTCTCCCTCCCTTCCTCCCTATCTCTCCCTTCTTCATGTTCATTGATATTGTCTACTTCTGGTTGGTTACCTCAAGACTGTATCCATCCCAAGGTTTTCTTCAGATTTGAACCGAAAAGGTATTTTGGTCATTCTGAATCTGAAGATGGTGTAAATTGTTATTCAATTTAAAGTGGATTGGTAGAATTGGGAGGTCAAATTGCAAATAATATGTGCCTACACTAACAACGGGTTTTAGGAGTATGTGAAACCTGATTCTTAGTTTAATCCTATGAATTAGTGGCAACTAGTCAAATTAGGTAAAGTAGGTTCTAGATACTAGAGTCAATTAGTAAGCTTTGGGAAGTGAGGTGGGTTAATAGTCTAATAGGAAATTTGGAAACTTTATATGCAAAAAAACCATAGCAATGTTGAAAGGACGTAGGTGGTGATAAAAAGAGGAAGAAGGTGAGAGAAGTGAAAAAAATTAGCCTGTGGCGTATAATATGACAAGGTTGGGAGTCGCAAGAGGGAGAAAAAAAGAGGGGATTGTTAGGGGGTGGTATAAGCTTGGGTGAACTAAAGGTTGAAATAACTTATCAAAAACCGAAGGTTGAAATGAAGATACCATGTTGGAATTTAAGGGGTTTAGGGGGTTCAAAAAAAGGAGGATTGTTAGAAATGTTTTAAGGAAAGAGAGACCGGACATTCTAATGTTACAAGAAACAAAGCTCTCAGAAGTGGTTAAAAGGTGGATAAGAATTATTGGGGGTATTAGAGGATTGAGCTGGTTTGGTGCAATATGAATGGTGGTCTACCTCAATGTGTTTCGTCCTCTCATGGAAAACTGGGTTTGACGCAATATGGATGGTGGTCTAATTATCACAGTGTAAGTGCATAGGAGTCTTCACTGGAATTCCAATTTCCTAAAGAAGACTCTTAAGCCACACTAGTTCTTCTATTGCTGTTGAGACACAAATAAAGGGAATACAAGTGTACAAGAAAAGGCCACGCCAGCCTTTAAAGAATGTAACTAATAGCCAACCACTAGAACAAACTAAATAACAAACTAGACAAGTGGACTGGACAAGTGGAGAGGTTGGTACAACAGAATTAACAGCCAACCACTAGAACAAACTAAATAACAAACTAGACAAGTGGACTGGACAAGTGGAGAGGCTGGTATAACAGAATTGTAACAACAATATATAAATAAGGAAAGGAGGTTAGGAGGGGATTATCGATTTGGGAATACAATCTCTCTCTCTCTCTCTCTCATTCAGGAGGCAGGCTCCCTCGAAAGAGTCCCTGAGTTAGGCAGTCCCTAACAAGTTGGTATCAGAGCCAAGATGCCAAGCACAAGGTCATCCGCAATGGAGAACATAGTCGACAACCTGGAAGGAGAAATGCAAAGAATATCGGCTGACGTCAAAGAAATCAAAGAAAGCTTTGCATCCTTGCTTGAACGACTAGCACAAGCACCACCTGCGCCGAATCAGGAAGAGCGTAGTGACACCAGTCATCGAAGCGGATCAAGAACAGCAAGAATCAAGTTTCCCATCTTCGCAGGGGGAGATCCCATATCCTGGCTTTTGCAAACATAAAGATACTTCGATTACCACGACACACAAGGACCTGATTGTGTTTCATTAGCTTCTGCACACTTGGAAGGAGAGGCGATCGTCTGGTACCAGTGGTACCGGCGACGACACCCAAGAGCCACATGGGCAGGCTTCACCGACGCCTTAACCATGCGATTTGGAGTCTCGGCTTTTGAGAACTATGATGAAAGCTTCGCTAAACTATGACAGACCGGCTCCGTCCAAGATTATCAGATGGCGTTCGAAAGATTGGCTGTGCGCATGCAAGGCTGGCCAGAAAACGCGCTTGTTGGCAGTTTTGTTGGTGGACTCAGGGAAGAATTGCGGCTGGAGGTAAAAGCCATGCGGCCCACCACCGTTCTTGAAGCAGCAGCATTAGCTCGACGACATGAAGACAAACTGAATCGGGCAAGAAGGATTAATCGACCTCTGGGAGCTGCGATCAACCAGGTATACCAAACCCAGAACCAGGTATCTTGGTTAAACCGGAGCCCAGATCATGAGTAGGAACCATAGGCAAGGATGCCAACTCTGGTTTAGGCTCTGACTCAGCCAAGAGGTTAACCTGGGCCGAGATGCAAGCCCAACGGGAAAAGGTCCTTTGTTATGCATGTGGAGACAAATTTGGGTCGGGCCATCGCTGTAAGATCCCTCAAGTTTTCTTCCTTCAACCTGAAAAGGAGTCAAAATGCGCATTTGGACAGACACAAGTACACTATTTAGGGCACGTGGTCGAAAACGACATTGTAGCAGTAGACCCGGAAAAGATCTCAAGCATGATAAATTGGCCCCAACCTCAAAATGTTAAGGAGTTACGAGGCTTCTTGGGTTTAACAGGGTACTACCGGCGATTCATTAGAGGGTATGGATTGATTGCTGCCCCCTTGACAAGTTTACTTAAGAAGAATGGGTTCTGCTGGACTAGGGAGGCCCAACAGGCCTTCGAGACACTCAAAACAACTGTCTCATCCCCACCGATGCTCGCACTTCCAGACTTCTCAAAGGACTCCATCATTGAATGTGATGCGTCAAGCCAAGGAGTTGGTGCAATCCTCATGCAAGAAGAAAGGCCACTAGTGTTTTTAAGCAAAGCAATGACAACACAGAAATGGGCCAAATCAGTATACGAACACGAACTGGTAGCAATTGTTCTCGTAGTTCAGAGGTGGCGGCCCTACCTTCTAGGAAGGAGGTTCATCATACGAACTGACCACCAGAGCCTGAAATTTCTGTTGGAGCAGTCCGTACTATCCTCGGAACAGCAGCGATGGATAGCCAAATTACTTGGCTACGATTATGTCATTAAATACAAGGCAAGGCACACTAACAAGGTGGCGGATGCACTGTCACGCTAGCCACAACTATTTCCATTACTTTTCACGGGCCCAACATGTTCCATCATGGGTCAGCTAAGGGAAGAAGCTGAAAGGCACCCACAACTGAGCAAGCTGCGTTCACAGGTCTAAGAAGACCATACTAGCCACCCAGGGTACACAGTGGAGAATAATTTGCTGCTGTTTAAACGCCGAATGGTGATACCACAGGATTCAGCCCATATTCAGCAGCTTCTGGAAGTGTTCCACTCATCCCCAACAGGAGGACACTTAGGGATCCTGCATTCCACTTAAAAGGCATGTGAAATTTGGTCCAAAAGTAAATAGCCGAATGCGTCATTTGCCAGAAAAATAAGGCGGATACCCAGTCTCCAGCAGGACTGCTACAACCACTCCCAATTCCTACACTGGTGTGGGCAGATATATTCATGGACTTTATAACGGGGCTCCCCCTTTCCTATGGCAAGTCCGTCATTCTCGTAGTGGTTGATAGATTAACCAAATACTGCCATTTTCTCCCTCTGTCCCACCCCTTTACAGCCTCCATGGTGGCTGAGATTTTTACCAAGGAGGTGGCACGACTGCATGGTAMCCCTAACTCTATTGTCTTAGACCGTGACTCTATTTTTATGAGTCGTTTCTGGGCAGAACTTTTTCAACTACAGGGAGTGAAACYCTTCAAATCTAYCAGCTACCACCCTCAAACAGATGGGCAGACTGAGGTGGTCAACCGGAGTTTGGAAACCTATCTAAGGTGCTATGCAGGGGATAGGCCACGTCAGTGGCTCATTGGGCATTGGGTCGGTGGCATACAGGCTTGACCTCCCAGCAACATCAAAATTACACCCTGTATTCCATGTATCCCTATTGAAGAAATGGCCAAAAACAGGAGCAATAACAACAACCACCCTCCCATCATTCTCGGAAGATGGCCAAGTTCAAATTGAGCCCACTCAGATAACAGATTTCAGGTGGATACGCAAAGGGAATCACATCAAACCAGAGGCATTGGTGGTATGGTCAGGTCTCCCAATTGAGGATGCAACTTGGGGACCTTACTTGGATTTACAGAATAGATTCCCACATCTTGACCTTGAGGCAAGGTTGCTTTCAAGGGAGGAGGAACTGTTGAGACACAAATAAAGGGAATACAAGTGTACAAGAAAAGGCTACGCCAGCCTTTAAAGAATGTAACTAACAGCCAACCACTAGAACAAACTAAATAACAAACTAGACAAGTGGAGAGGCTGGTATAACAGAATTGTAGCAGCAGTATATAAATAAGGAAAGGAGGTTAGGAGGGGATTATCGATTTGGGAATACAATCTCTCTTTCTTTCTCTCTCTCTCTCATTCAGGAGGCAGTCTCCCTCGAAAGAGTCCCTGAGTTAGGCAGTCCCTAACAATTGCATGACTCAGCTCTATACTCAGCTTCTACACTTGATTTAGCCACAACATTTTGTTTCTTGCTCTTCTAGGAAACAAGATTGCCACCTAAAAACATACAATATCCTGTTGTTGACCTTCTATTTGTTGGTGATCCAGCCTAGTCAGAATTTGTGAACCCAAAT